CCCGGAGAGTGGGGCAGGGGCCGGGTAGGGACCAGGGGTGGGGCTGGGAGGGTAGGGCTGGGGCTCAGAGGCAGGTCCTGGGGGCGGGGCCCAGGGCGGGACGGGGAAGGAACAGGGGCAGGGCCCAGGGCGGGGCCTGGGGGCGAGGCAGGGCCCTGGAGGTGGGCAGGGGCGGGGTCTGTGGGCGGAGACTGGTGGGGGCGGGGCGTCCCCTCTGCCCCACTGGGCGGTCCCTCTGTACACAGGTGTGTTAGGCAGTGGCTGAGCTAATGGGTTCAGCCGTGTGGGGACAGGTACCTGGGTGGGTAGGGTAAGTGGGAGCGCGGGCAGCAGGGTGCTTGAGTGAGGTGGAGGCTCTGCCGGTTCAGGGCGGCTGCATCTCCACAAGATGGCTTCCAGCCAAGCCCACGGAGGAGCCTGAGGAACGTGGGCCAAACAGACCCCATAGCTGCTCTGGGCGCTGGGGGAGCCGGGGACTAGGGAGCTGGGTGGCTCCTCTGCGCACTAGGGGGCTGCCTGTCCTGGTGTGTGTGCCTGCGGTGAGGCTCAGCATTGGCCAGTGTCATGGGACCTTTTTATGGGGAGCCCAAGGGCGTTTCTATGCAGTCACCAGGGCTGTGGTCCCTGAATGTTCTGTGGAGTGGAGGACCGACCCCAGGGCAGCCCCTCGCCACTTCCATGCCCTGCCTGGCCCTCCCACCGGCCTCCCAGGGCCTCTGGAGTGTAACAGCCTAAATGTTCCCTCACCCATTCTGCCTCTGATCAGACCACCCCACTTGTTCTGAGGACCCCCACTCAGCTCTGTCCCCTCCTGCCTTTGGGTTGCCCCCACTCACCCTGCAGCCAGGCCTAGATGCAGGACTTCCTCCCCTGTGCCTCAGTTTCCCCACAGAAAAAATAGGGTTCCTGATAGCTCTGAGGTCACAGGACTGCTGAGGGGATCAAGTTAGATCAAGTCTGAGGGGGCCTTGGGGAGATGGATGACAGGCTTGGATGCTGACACCCAAAATCATGCTGTCATCATTTGGGGACTGTGTTACACCATCAGCTACGTAATTAACCTTAGGAATCGGATGGTCTTGTGACCTGTTGAGCTCCTCGCCTGGCCTGTGAGGACCCTGGGTGTGGGGCTGTTACTGTTGTGGGTGCTGCCTCTACGTGCTGTCATCTTCCAAAGAGGCCACTTCCCTGCCTTGAGCCCCTGCACCATGTCTCTGCCCCAGGTCATCTCTGTACCTGCCCCCAGGCCCCGCCCTACCCTCCCAGCCCCTGGTCTCTACCCCGCCCCTGCCCCACTCTCTGGGCCCTGCCCCCAGGCCCTGCCCTGTCCCTGGCCTGCAGATCAAACCTGGGAAGTCCCCACGAGGACCCCAGCCCCCGTGTCCCCTTCCCATATTCTAGGGAAAGTCCCCAGCCCCAGCCAGCTGGCGGTGACCGAGCTGCCTGGAGACAAGGTCCAGCTGGAGTGGGCAGCTGCGTCTGGCGTGCTGGTCTACCAGATCAAGTGGACACCCCTGGGTGACGGGAAGGCCCACGAGGTGAGGGTGTGCAGAGCCGGGACCTAGACAAGGCCCCCTCCCACAGCCGGCTGTGCAGGGTGGGGTGGGCCTGACCACAGGGGACCTTCCTGGCAGAGAGCCCCACATGGACCCTGTGTGCACTACCCAGTCCTGTGTTTTGGGGACCCAAAGGTGAGACCCCCTCAAGGGGGCTGCCCTGCACTGCAGGAGACAGCTTGCCCTCCCCTCAGGTCTCCGTGCCTGGGAACCTTCATTCAGCCGTGCTGCCAGGCCTGGGGAGGACCGTGGAATATGACATCACTATCCTGGCCTACTACCGGGACGGCACCCGCAGTGACCCTGTGTCCCTGCGCTACACCCCCCGTAGGTGACTCTCTCAGCTGGTGTGGGCAGGAGCAGTTTAGAGGGGCTAGACTCCTCCAGCTTCAGGGCCCAAGACCCTGAACCCCAGGACTGCTGACCGGTGGGTCATCGAGTGCCCAAGCCCCCACCCTCTGACTTGACCACTTGGTCTGAGGGTCAGGGCCTCCCTGAGACCATGCAGGCAGGTGTTCCACGGGGGAGAGGGGGAGGATGCAACAGTCCACAAGGGATGGGTCCCAGGAGTTGACCCCAAACTGTGGGCCCTCTGGGCAACCTGGTCATGGGGCGGGGACACAGTGCAAGGGCTCAAGGCAGGTACAGACATGACCTGGGGCAGGGACGTGGTGCAGGGGCTTAAGGCGGGTACAGAGATGACCTGGGGCAGGGACGTGGTGCAGGGGCTTAAGGCAGGGTACAGAGATGACCTGGGGCAGGGGCTGGGTGGGGATGGGATCTTGTTGCCAGGCATGCCTTCCTGAGCACAGCGAGCCCTGCCATGTTCTCAGTGAGCTGGAGCCCCCCCTCCAACCTGGCACTGGCCTCAGAGACGCCCAACAGTCTGAAGGTCAGCTGGACGCCCCCTCATGGCCATGTCCTCCACTACCGGCTCACCTACACGCTGGCCTCTGGCTCAGGCCCTGAGAAATCGGTGGGTCTGCGTCCTGGGCTCCTATGGAGAGACACAGTTTCATCCTTGGAGTCTTGTCTGTGAAGACAAAAATAGGAGGAAGTTGATGGATGAGACTGAGGGAAACAGGGGAAGGTGACCGTTCCCCTGTGGGGTCAGATCTCCGTTCCAGGACCCAGGAGCCTCGTGACGCTCCCTGACCTCCTGGCAGCCACCAAGTACAGAGTCCTGGTGTCGGCCGTCTTTGAGGGAGGGGAGAGCAGGGCTGTGTCAGCCACCGGCCGGACAGGTGAGTGGGTGCGTCAGGGCCGCCCAGGCCCCGCCAGGCTCAGGGCCTTCCTCCTGCACCTGGATGGCGTGGACCCCGAGGGAGGGAAGTGGAGTCTCACCAAGGCTGCAGGTCTGGCCTGGCTCTTGAGGTCAAGAGGTTCTGAGCCTGTTGGTATGGTCACCTTATAGCCAGTGGCTGGGGGCCAGGGCATCAGGGTGCCAGCTTCCCTCTGGTGGCCCCAACATTTCAGCCTGGATGCCCCCAGGAGCAGGGCTGCACTGCCCTGGGGACAGCAGCCATGGTCAGCACCCTGAGAGTGGCTTCCCTGTGGCCCTGCACTGTAGGGGAGGGGAGGGGAGGGGAGGGTGCAGCCCCGCCCTGCCACATGGTCTTAGCAGACAGTGGGAGTCCTGGCCGCGGATGCTGGACCCCAAAGCTGTAGGATCCCTTGCCTCCCCTGCGGTGTGAGGACCGAATCCATGGGGCCAGGCGGGTGGGAGACCCTCCAGGGATCCAGGGCATCACCTGCAAGGCATCGTCCCTTCCTGGCTCCGCCTTGAGGCAGCAGGGGCCCGGCCACCCCTAACTCTGGTCTCTGCCCTCAGCAGCCTGCCCAGCACTGCACCCGGATGGCTCCCTCCCAGGTAGGTCCCCTCGGGGCTTCTCTGGTACCACCCCTTGGGCCCAGGCTGCTCCTGGGGGCTGAGGGTGGCGGGCCTGGGTGAGCAGGGGTCTAGCAGGGGAGGCCAAGGGGTGAGTGGCCTGCCTTCCCCACCCATGATGAGGGTGGGGCTGGAGGACATCGGGAGAGGGACGGACAGCTTGCAGAGTGACTTTATCCCTGAGTCACAGTGAGGGAACAGTAGTCCTGGGGCCCACCTGTGGTCCCAGCCCTGGTGCAGCTGAGCAGAAGAAAAGACAGGGGTCCTGGTGCCCATGGATGCCCTGCAAAGCCCCACTCAGCCTCCTGGCCGAGCTCTCTGTTGATTGCAGGGGTGCCCAGCCCGAGGGCCACCAGCTTCCCTGCCTGAGGGACAGGTGTGGGAGAGGTGTTCAGGGAAGGAAGGAGAGGGTCTGCCAAGGCCATGGAGGGGTGGTGTGGAGCTTGACCGATTTGAAGGGAGCTCTGAGAAGAGCATCCCTGTGGATGTGGCCCGCCTGCCCCACCCCTGTCCACACCCTGCCCCCACCAGCAGACAGCCCTGACAAGCACCGAGTAGTTTTGTGCCCTTAATGCTGGGGGGGGAGGGGGGGGTGGCCAGTGCAGGGCATGGGGCAGGGTGAAGCGGGCCTCCAGAGAGAGAAAAATTGACCCCACAAGGAAGAGCTGCCCACTTGGGGGCTGGGACAGAGGTGCAGGGGTGGTGTTGCAGTGGCTGTGCATGTTGGGGGGCTCACAGGGTGGGGTGTCAGGAAGAAGGGGCAGGGACAGGAGTGGCCAGGGAGGGGTTCCTAGCAGCTGGGGACCAGAGGAGGCCCAAGTCTCAGTCCCACCCTCGGCCAGGGCCACAGGCCCCTCCCTGCCCCCTTAACTGCCGAGCCCCTCTGTCCCGACTCCCACCAGTCCTGCTCTCCTCCCCTGGCCCTCCCCTGCCACCTTAGCTCTGTGCCCTCCCGGCCCTCTGCTCTGCCCGCCATGTCTCCACCGCCCCATCTCCCTCCTTGCTTCCCTCCCTTCCCCACTGACTAACTCAGCTTTCCCACGGCCCCCCCTGCCCTGCACCTCCAGGGTTCGACCTCATGGCTGCCTTCGGCTTGGTGGAGAAGGGGTACGCCTCCCTCCGAGGGGTGGCCATGGAGCCCTCTGCATTTGGGGGGGCCAAGACGTTCACACTCTTCAAGGATGCCCAGCTGATGCGCCGAGCCAGGTGGGGGGCAGGGTGTGGTGGGGCGCAGACAGCCGTGGAGGAACCTCCTGGGCGGCTGCGTGGGGTGTCCCTGGTCACCAGCATCAGCACTCTTTCTGAGAAGTCAGCGTTTTATGAGTTAAAATTGTGCATGGAGAGGAAGGCAGTGGCCCCTTGGCATGTCTCCGTGGCCACTTGTGGGCTCTTTCCCAGAGGCAGAATCCTGCACAGGGCCACAGGTCAGCCTGCAGACTTCCTGCCTCTTCACTGGCTGCTCTCAGGAGCCTTCGGGTGGTGCGCACAGTTAATGTTCAGCTCCACGCCAAAATGCTGGAAGTTCAAGTCCACCAAGGGGCACCTTGGAAGACAGGCCTGGGTGTCTGCTCCTGTAGCTCAGTCGTGGGGGCCCTGTGGGGACAGTCAGACTGACACACACAGGGCAGAGTCCGCTTGACGGCAGGTGTCTGTCTGGTTTGCTCACTGTTTTAATTCGACAGGGTGAATATGAAGTGTCCCAGGGTCGTACAAACAGCCACTTGATAGGTGACTGTGACAAACGTGTGCAGGGACTCCTAAGACCCGCTGACCACATCCTGTTAAGGAGACATCTGTAATTGTAAAGCTGAACCCCATACACACGGGGTTAGTTTTCCTTACGTTTCAGTGTTTAAATTGCAAAGGTAACTCCTACTCAGTAGTAGAAATTTAAAACTGCAAAATATACCCCCCACAACCTCCCCCAAAGCCCCCCCACA